GTACCTCCAGTTACGTCTTTTCCAGTCCCAGTGGGCACCGATTTCATCAGCCGGGGTTGCCGAGCGGCACGCAATAGCACAGATCTGTAATGGACATCCCCGTCGGGGTCTATGCATGTTGGCAGCCTTGTTTTGAGTTATTTGGAAGGAAAACGCTCCAAATAGTTCTCATTATGGGCGCTTATTGGGTGGTAAATGTTTTGATAAATGGCTGTGTGCATTTGCCTCTTATTTAGCCATCCCTAGTTAGAACTCCAAAATATTGCCCACCCTGGCCCTTCTATTCCAAAGGAATTGGGAAGGCTTCTGTCCATGTGATTGGGAAGGTAGATGGCGAAGAGAGGCCCCGGCTTGTGGTAGGCTTCATAAAGCTGGAATTGTGCTTTGTGATTTGAAGGAGGGCTTGTCACTCAAAACCCAACTTTTCTTCATCTCTGAGGAAGATTTCTGTCACTGGTAGGTGTCCGTTAGGCTTTAACTCTGGGAAGCATTGATGGCACAGATTAGACATACTTAAATATTTTGAGGGAGTAATTTAACAATGATCAATTTCTGGACTATGCCCACTGTTGAAGATATGGGACTCTTCCCGATCATTTTTATTTAAAAAAAATTATTTCTTCCTTGCCCTAAATCCCAACGCTGCTTTGGAAAAAAGAGAATGCTTATTCTATGTATCTCTAGTGCCTTATAGGCTCTAATTAGTCAGTAAATGGATTAGAGAGGTAGGGAGGAAGAAGCCCTACCCTTACCCCCCCCCCCCATCCAATTGGGAGGAGTTTGTGGCCATCAGGTTTTCGTGGTGGTTTCTGGTACTGTTTAGCTGATTAACACATGAAGGTGGAGATAAGGGATTTGTCTTGATATTGTTTCAGTGGTCCCATTCATGTGTTCTGTGTGCATGCATAGGACTGAGAGATAGTATCATTCAGAGTCAGACCAGAGTTCAGATCTCAGCTCCACCCCCATCTTAGCACTGTATCCTTGGACAAGTTGCTTAGTTTTACCAAGCCCCAATTTCTTCATCTTAAATGGGAATATGATGGTCTACTTTAAAGAATTAGAGGGATTAAATGAGCTCATTTATGTAAAGTACTCAGCATAGGCCAGACTTCTAGTAGATGCTCAGAAGTTTAAAGATTTTTATTTATTCATGAGAGACAGAGGCAGAGGGAGAAGCAGGCTCCCCGCGGAGCAGGGAGCCCCATGCGGGACTCGATCCCGGGACTCCAGGATCATGACCTGAGCCGAAGGCAGTCGCTTAACCAACTGAGCCACCCAGGCGCCCGATGCTCAGAAGTTTAAAAAAAAAAAAAATTCTTCTTAACTCCCAATTATATTTCAGCCTTTCTGCTTTTGTTTGATGTTAAATTTATCAGTAATCTGCCTTTAAAGATGGAGGTAGCACTGAACCTTACCCGCTGCTGTTAACCATTTAGTAATATAATATTGTATATATACATAACCCCTGCCCTGTGCATTCTTGCTGTCTCTAAGGCATTCCACAGCTCCCGCTCTGCTTCTTTGAAGGCAGATTTCTGGCTGGTTGACTTGTGAGTTACCTTTCTTCAGTTTACCCCTCCTTGGTCAGTCACTCCTATTTTCCTGGTTGTTTTTTCAGTACCCCTCTTGTATCAACTTTCTCTGGGATTCTCCTGTCACTTGCTTGCCATCTTTAATCCCTAGGACAGCCCTTCCAGATGGGTATTATTATCCCCATTTTATAAACAGAGGGACTTGGGAAAGTGTTTTAGTACAGAATCCCCTCCTAAGTCACATCCTATAACCGCCCCCCCAAACAAAACAAAACAAAACAAAAACAAAAACCCAAATGCAGCTGAAGTTTATGAATCCATTGGCTTAGTTACTAACTCCTTAATCAAACTCCAGACAGTTCTGGATGCTACAGTTTGGGAGTGGGTTCTGGCTTTTAATTCTGTTAGTTACAGCTAAGACTGAAAATGCCTTTGAAAAAAGGGTTGGATGGGGGAAGGAGAGGTGTGCTTGTGGAAGAAATAGGCATTTCAAAGACTTCATGTGCTCATTATATCACTCTCATCCAGGGGAAGTTTCCACTCAAGGATCTCCCTACACTAAGTCAGTCCACGGTGTTTACTGAGTTTCTGGTGTGAGGAACAGACTGTATGTACTATGCATTTGGGGGAGGATAGAAAAGAAATGAGTTGTGGACCTTGTCCTTAAGGAAATTTCTGCCAAGTGGGGGGAAAAATTCTTGCACATGAAATTACTCATGAACATTTGGGGGATAATATCAACCAGTAAAAATGCATTCTGTGCCAAACGAGGACTGACAACTTGTCACCATATGCAACATCATTTGGATGTTTCTGTATGCTCATTTGTTCCTCAGAGTTGGGGCTGTTTTTCCCCTTCAGTCAAAAGAATGTTTCCCGAAGCACAGTGTCTTGGGAAAGAGGGAGATGAAATAAAGAGATTTAAAAAAGGAACGGCCGCTGTGAAATGAAAGAGATTTGATTTAGCAAAAATCCAATGACCTCCCAAAGAGCAGGGCATGATAGCTTATCAAATGCACAGCTGTGGATGAGATCAGGACTTCGCAGTACATTATGAGTTTTATGCCCCTCTTTCATTGGTCTAAATGCACCAATCCCCATGCCTTAAAAATAATTTAAAAAAGAGGAAATGTTAGAATTCTTTCACTGTTGAGTTTTTTTTTTTTTAAATATGCAAAATCAAGTGAAAGCAGAATAGCCTGCCTTTTATGAAGTTGGTCAGATTATAGCCCCGGGTACTGCAGAGCTATGGCGGCCCCAGAAAATCCCAGAACCCCTGGGCATTCTCAGCTCTTAGCCGACAGCAAACTGGCCGGCTCTAAGTGAATCTCATGAGCCAGCCATTGGCCTTGTCAAAATCCCTAACTTTTGTGGCTTTACTTAACACCTTGGTGTTTCTTTTCTGATGCTCTGGTGTTTATATAGCACTCTCAACTTATTTTGAAAACATTTGCATGGTGATTAGTTAACCCAACAGACCAACCCTGGGAAGGCAGCCAGAGCAGGCAACACCTTAGTAATAGAAAAGCTGATAATTAGGAGAAAGCCCCCCTGCCCCCCACACACCCAGACCAGGAGCCTGGACCTAAATGGTGCCACTTTGCTTTAATGAGTGACCCCAGTAAAAACTGATCAGTGGTCGAGCTGTTTGAATCCACCTTGAGTCCACCTAGTTCTGCTGAAACTCTTGGGATGGTCATGGCTCTGTTTGAGCTTGTGGTGTTTGGACAGTTGTCTGTAGGAAGAAAGCACCGCCTAGAGCAGCACTGATGGGTCACGGGAACCTCTCTCATTTTCAGTTCTGGCCACGTTCAACACCTGAACTTGGATGTTGCCCGTGTTTCCCATCTGCTCTATGAACATCACCTCTAAGAGAGTTCTCTTACTCAAGGCTTTTGTTAGTTAAAGGTGCTGCTTTTAAAACTAGACCGGTGATTGCCAGAGGCTGGGGGAGGGGGCAGTGGGAAATGGCTCCATGGTGGGTGTAGTTTCAGTCACACAAGATGAACAAATTCCAGAGATCTGCTGTACGACAATCCACATACAGTGAAGACGACTGTCCTGCACACTTAAAATTTTAATAAATTTTTGTTAGATTTCATGTTTTGTCTTTTTTATCATAGTAAAAAACGTATCAGCAAGATAAATATATTTTTGAAAGTGCTGCTTTTTATAGTCAAGGGGCTGATTCTGAGAGCCTTGATTCACATGGGCTGAGGTCACCGTCTCGAGGGTGTATGTTGTGTTTGGCTTCCATTGCATCATGGTGAAGGTAGCTTTCGACGGGCACGTTTCAGGCTTTCATTGGAAGCCCCACCACATTAAAGATGAATTATTGTGCAAGCAACCCCCCTCCGATTTCACTCATAATATATGAGGTACCTAGAATTTCATGATGTATATTTTTAGCAGAAGTGATTCTGAGTTAATCGGGAGCCCACGTTTTTACTGATCCCATGGAAGGTGAAGAAACGGAAGGCCTGGGGTTGGAAGGGTGGAAGACAGATTAAGCAGGTGTACAGACGTGAGGTGGTCTGGATGAGGGAGGCTCCCTGAGACTCTGTACGATTCATGTGGTCTGCGGCTCCTCTGAACCTCACGGTCTGAAAGCTTGGAGTAGTGTTTTCCCCTTTCCCCTTTCTCTAGGTAACGAGGCATTACCTAGAACTCCCGGGGACTACAGCGGCGCTTCAGGGAATACTCTTCCCGCCACACCTCATGTAATTGCACCAATGAAGTTAATTGCACTGCTTTTTGAGGAACTTGTGCAAAAGGCATTGTGTCTCCTGTAAACAGGGAGGTGGTTTTGTATCAGACCCATTCATCCAGTGCCTCTTGCTGCAAGCCCCGGGCTGACTGCGATGGGGGGCATCTAGGCATCTAAATAGCCCAGGGGTGGAGTGCAACATCTGGGCAGGTGGTCCCGAGCCCGCCGACTTGTGTGGAAGCTCAGGCCCCGCAGCCTGCAGGTGCTACCAGTTAGTTTGAAAGGACTGTGTCCGGAGTGGCCTTTCACCTTCTGTAAGTCCAGGGCCAGATGAGCTGATAGAGAATTGCTTTCAGTCTTGAGTTTGAGACTGGCCACCCGCCTGAGGACCAGGCAGGAGAGGAGACTCCCTCATTCTGGTAACAGTACCCCCGCGTGACCCGACCTGTGGCTGTGGCCCTGGTGGGAGTGGCCATGGGAGCTGGCTGGCCCGGGCTGGCTCCTGGAGAACCCCACAGTCTTGCTGGGGGAGGGGAAGGGGGGCGGGGTGCAGCATCTCTCCTGCGAACCCCGCAATCTTTCTGGGGGGGAGGGATAGGAGGGAGCGGGGTGCAGCATCGCCTCTCCTGCCCTCCACCGAGGTCCCGATGGGCCAGCACCAGGGGCCAGGGCACACAGAGCATTCCTGAGGGGTGGGCGAGGGCAGGGGTAGGACTCCTGGGGCTGCCACAACCCCCCCTTGTCTCTGTCCCACCCAGGTGAGCGCCGTGGGCTATGGGATGGATGAGGTGGAGCAGGACCAGCATGAGGCCCGACTCAAGGAGCTGTTTGACAGTTTTGACACCACGGGCACTGGGTCCCTGGGACAGGAGGAACTCACCGACCTTTGCCACATGCTGAGCTTGGAGGAGGTGGCCCCGGTGCTCCAGGAGACGCTGCTTCAGGATAACCTCTTGGGCAGGGTAAGGTCTGGGGAAGAAGCAGGGTGGCGGGAAGTGGGTGCGGCTTTGGTCAGAGGCTGGGCGGAGGGGGGAGGGGGGAGGTAGGGGCAGAGCATGCGTGTTGCAACTTGCTTCTCACATCCTGGCTGTGTGTGCCCCTAGCTGTTAACCTGATGAACAGAAAGAGAAAATGTAATGGGCGGGACCCAACAGTGTGGTTTGCTTGGGTTGTAGAGGACCTGCTTGGGTTTGTGCTCTGGAATATAGATGTACCCGGAGCATCTTAGATGAAGGGAGAAAAAGAGGCAATAAGAGCATGTTTTCCAGCTCTTGTTCATGGTGGATCATTTTATGGACTCTGCATTCATCATTGGGGCAGAGGGAGGGGACCGAGATTTCCCTGGAAGAGAAGGAAAACACAGTAAGAAAATTGCCACTCACAGGATGAACAGATTGCTGTTATGACTTTTACTTCCAATAAAGCTATTTCTTGTGCAGATTGCTTCTCGGGTGAAGTTTTAATTAAACCTTTCACCTAGGAAATAAGACAGGAGGGTAAGTAAATACACTGCAGGTTCATTTAAAACCCAGCACGACTTCCTTCCAGCAGCGATATGCATGTGTGCTGATGGTAACTTCTGCATTTGACAACAAATAGTCATGTTGTCCCCACAAATCAAGTCACAGAAATGAGTACAGGGTGAGAAAGGGCCTTTTTAACTCCTGCTATTAGTGGGAAGGATGTTCGATCTGTCTCGACCTCCTATTGCCTTCAGTCCTCATAATTCTAATTAAGAGCATAATTTGTATGGCTTTGAGTTGAGTCTTACTGTTGATTGTTAGAATGGATGAGAGGAAAAAATGGGCAGTGCTTTATGGGCTCTGTTGTCACTGATGATACTTTGTAGACATTTGTTTTTATCATGTAGCGCAAACTGAGGAAGGAGTTGTGAAATCCAACTTTATTCCAGTGACTGAATTTCCTTTTCTTCATTTCATTTTCACTGTCTCTTAGTTGACAAGTTGGGTAAGTGACCTCAGAGACAGTACGATGGATTGGCTGGCTGTGACACAAGACAGACGGGAGCAGCGATCATTCTGAAATTAATGTACAAAGGATGCTATTCTCAGGGGCTTGGCGCTATGAATGTCATGTCTAACAGGGCTCACACTTAAAAAAACAAATGTGAGGTGTTTTACAAAACTGGAACCATTCTTGGTCACTCTGAGAAGGGGGGATTAGCTGCTTGTGAGGACATGTGGTCTCTAAAAAATGCTGAAAATCTTGCTTCGGAAGCCATAGAGATGGGAGGTTTGAGGATGAAATCATTTGCTCATCATGTAATGCACTCAAATGTGTTTTCGTTCTGTCTCGGTCTCGGACACCTTGGGCAGTCAAGGGAGTCTTGAGTTTCCCACTGTGGTCCTGGGGGATCTCAGCCTTTTGGGATATAAGGGTAGTACCAAGAGTGGATCTGTTTCAGGGCTGATGAAAGCCTGAGAAGACCTGACACAAACTAAGGCTTCCCGTGAGACGTCTCCGAGTCAGCGTAAATACACAACCCTCTGCTGCTGACAGATTGCGCCTTGGCAGCGCATTCACCGTTCGCTCTCCAGATGTTGCCCATCTTTGCCCCCCGTTCGGCAAACTAAAGCAGGGGAACAGTTATCGATTGATTTGTTAACGACTTGACACCATCAGCCTGCTTTTTACGTTTGCTATTTGCCTATGAATAATGAATACCTAAGTGGTCTATAGCCTGATATTTACTTAGTGAGCCAGTGATAAAAGTTAAATAGATGTATGCATATTGATTTCATGTGGGACGTCCCTGGTGACTGTCTTGAGAGCAGGGTTGGCATGAATTAATGCACTACTGTTCGATTTGCATTTTTTATGAAACTGAGTTATTCTCCTCAGATGATCACATAAACTTGGCCATATGTTGTTAAGATACTCTACATGGTCTATAATTTTAAATTATAAGGAAAAAAATTCCTTAGAATTCACTGAAGAATTCTAAGTGCTAACACCTTCTTGATCGTGAGTTATAAAATTACACGTTGTCTTCAATGCCAGTCATCTTTCTTCTCTTTAGAGGGTATTTATAGAAAAACTTGTAAGGGTTGGCAGTTTGGTTTCATAAACAAGGAGAAAGAATAGTAGCATGACAGATCTCAATATATTCAACTATTCAGTAATTCAATAAATACGTATTGTAGGGATCCTGCGTGTCAGACTTTCTGCTAGTCTGTGGTATGGGTGCCACTTACATATGTTTATCATAGACTAAGGTTTTCCATTAAATTGGCTTTTGGGTACGGTAGTATCCAACAGCTTCCTGGATATTTAGGTTTAAATTTATCTTTAAATTTTAATGAGTATAGTTTCTAAATGAAACAAAACTTCCAAGTTTACCTTTATTGGAATTGGGCTGAATTAATCATTTTTTCTTGAAAAAGAAATAAGATAAAAAAGCATTGCCCTCCTCAATAAGAATATGAATATTTTCTGTTTATTTTTTATTTCAAATCCATGTGTAATAACTTCCTGGTTTTTTTTTTTTTTTTAAGCCTAATATTTCTTTTGACAGTTGTTAAAGAAAGTAACTGAAATTGACTTGCCATTTTCATGCATTTTACTCCTAGGCCATTTACCCCCAAATTATGTTTCAGTTCATCTATCTGATCTTGCTTTATAACTTGAAGTTGTATTCCCCTGAGCGTGGTGCCATTTAAGTATTTGAAATGCCTGAGGATTGTGGATCACTGATTTGAAAGAAGCAAGACATTGCTGGTGGGTGTTTCTTGCTACATTATCAAAAGAGCTCCATGTATCAGTTAAGCATGTATCCATGTATCCATGTATCAGTTAAGCACCTGTCAGGTGGGTGGGAGCCCAAGGCTAGGGCCAGGGACTCCTGAAGACACAGAAGTACTTTTATTCTGGTCAGGTAATGTGCCTAGCAGCTGAACAGCCTTTTTTTTTTTTTTTTAAGATTTTACTTATTTATTTGAGAGAGAGAGCATAAGTGGGAGAGCATGAGCTGGGGAGGGGGTAGCAGAGGGAGAGGGAGAAGCAGATTCCCTGCTGAGCATGGAGCCCGACGCGGGGCTCAATCCCAGGACCCCGAGATCACGACCCCAGCTGAAAGCACACAACCGACTGAGGCACCCAGGTGCCCCCACAGTCCTGAGAGCAAATACTACAAACATATAAGAAAGTAGAACAGCATTAGCTCTTTTTTTGAACCAAGTTTTCATCCAAACAATTGATATTGGTCATAGCTGCTTCCTGTTTTTTGTCTTTTATTTTTCATCTTCATTATTATTTTTTTAAATTCAAGTTAGTTAACATATAATGTATTATTAGCTTCAGGGTAGAGTTTAGGATTCGTCAGTTGCATATAACACCCAGTGCTCATTACATCAAGTGCCCTCCTTAATGCCCATCACCCAGTTACCCCATCCCCCCACCCACTTCCCCTCCTGCAACCCTCAGTTTGTTCCCTGTAGTTAAGAGTCTCTTATGGTTTGCCTCTCTGTTATTATTTTATTTTTCCTTCCCTTCCCCTATGTTCATCTGCTTTGTTTCTTAAATGTGTCTTTTATTTTTCTATTTTTTATTTTTTGAAGAATTTATTTACTCATTTGAGAGAGACAGAGCATGAGCAGGGGAGAGAGGCAGAGGCAGAGGGAGAAGCAGACTCCCTGCTGAGTTGGGTGCCTGACGTGGGGCTCAATCCCAGGACCCTGGGATCACCACCTGAGCTGAAGTCAGACACTTAACCATCTGAGCCACCCAGGTGCCCCTTAAATGTGCCTTTTAAATTATATGTTGTCATATGCTTCTCTCTTTTATTAGAAATCAGAACATAAATATGATAGTCTACCTTGGCTTTATTGAAGCTGTCATATCAGTTTTAAAAATGCGTTTTTCTTTACTTAAGGAATATAGCAACTTTGAGACCTAACAGCCCCCTGAGATTCTAAGGAGTTTCCTTGCTGTACTCTCTGGTAGGAATCTGGATGCTGAGGTACTCCATGTCCTTGGTACTCTTCAGAATCAGAACAAGCCCCCTGGTAGCAGAACCCACAGTTGGCTTCCGAAGAATCCCATAGGTGTGTGGACTTTGGTCATCAAAGGCACTTTGAAATTTTTAGTGTTAAAATCTGATAGCTTTACAAATATAATTTAGCTCACTTTTTCCACCTTTCATTTCAAAGTGCTTGGGGGTTCTTTTATAAATATCATGATTAATTTCATATGATGGATTTGCTTATTTGTTTCCAGTTCATTAAAAGCTTTTAGGATTTCTTTCTCTTATATATATTTTAACCATTTGAAAGGTAAATCAAATACAGAAGTACCTTTCTGGTCATGATTATCTGGACTTGTTCTCCGTGTGCAAAATTATGCATGATCATCAAGTAGTGTCTATTTATAACTACCCCGTGTTCATGCTCCTGTTTCATATTATTGATCTGAGGCTTTTTAAATGCATTGGAGGAAATGGTGGCAACATTTCTCATTGCATCTCTTATTAAATGTCTGGAAGCTGCCGTATCTCACTGTTTAACCACCATAGTTTAACCTGATATGGTGAGGTGTATTGTCTGATTCCCATTTGGTCCTGTGACTCTGTAAACCATCACACCCTTCCATTACAACAGTCTCCATTGGGGTTAACTTGAACTCCTAAGGGTCTTTGGTTCCCAATTATAGACAAGACCATTCTGATTAAGAGTCTGCAAGACTTGCTTCTACTCTGTATTAATGCTTCGTTGTCAAACTCATTGCAAAATTAACTTCAGTTTTGCATGCTGCGACCTTGAGCCTCTCGGAGCTATTGAGTCTAATGGGAAGCCAGGGCAAGGGGCGGGCTGTTGGGAAGATCAGGCAGCTCTCAGTGAGAGGTGGGAACAGGTGCAGAAAGGCTGTTCTCTCCTACCTGCTTTATTTCAGTAATGACTGCCTCTTTCTCCGGAGAAAGTATGGTCCAGAATGCCGATTTGATTTC